GACATGAGTTTCAGCTGTCTCACAGACGTATGAAGACATGAGTTTCAGCTGTCTCACAGACGTATGAAGACATGAGTTTCAGCTGTCTCACAGACGTATGAAGACATGAGTTTCAGCTGTCTCACAGACATATGAAGACATGGGACACCTCAGTAATCCAGGTAGAAAAAAAAACTTCCTTGGTCCTCTGGATAGGTTCTTTAATGAAACGTTTCCTCTCTCCTCCAAGAGACTTCTTCAGTCTGAGGAGTTTCAGGTGAACTCAGCTTTATAAGAACTACCTCCACATGATGAACAAACAGGTTGGTCACATAAGAGGACCATCAGCCAAACAATAGATCATTAATTACCTTTAGCTACATATATCTTGCCAATTTATGATGAAATCACCCAGAATTATACTTACACTACGACCATCTATAGTTACAAGAAGTTTCTTAGATTCATTTTAAAATGTACAGTGTGAAGGTGTGTTATAAAGCACAGAAACTATCATTTTTTCTAATCAAGGTAGTTGTTACACAATTAGGAAATGTATTAAGATATTTTAAAGTATAAAAGAAAACCTCTAAAGACATGTCTCAAAAAGAAAAACAATTAAAAAACATCTCTGATCAACATTAAACTGTAAAAGTAGTTGTGTGGGTTTCAGTTTTGGGTCCAGGTTTAAGATCGGACCCAGTCAGCACAACATGGACTTACCAACTGGTGGTGATGACTTGGGATGTTAGCTTCCTGAAAAAATGAGCTGAGAGCCGTCTGCACAGAGAAAAAAAAGGTGAAGATTAAATTTTTCACCTCCTCATGCTGGATCAATTTCACTAAAACATCTGACCCAGAATCAGTGACAGTCTGTTACTTCACTGTCTTTATAAACATCAGGACATTGGAAAGACCTTGTATATAACCTATAGACCTACATCTACTCTACAGACCTATATCTAACATTTAAACTTATATCTACCCTAAAGACCTGTATCTAAAATATAAACCTATATATAACCTATAGACAAATATCTAACCTATAGACCCATATATAACATAGACCTATATCAAACCTACAAGCCCTGTCAAAAAGTCTGGAATCAGCAGTGTTGGATGAGCACTCATTCAGACATTTCATCCTGTAAAACAAACTCAGATCAAAAACATGAAACAAT